AAAAGAAGGGCAGAAGGGGCAACTAGAAAGACCTTATAATGGCTAAATTTGGGATAATTTGTGTAATAATGATAGTAATGGATAACTCATAGGATAAATCTTGAAAGCATGACAGAAATAGAGTATTACCATTTGACATATACCAGATTATTATTTCAGACAAAAATCAATAGGTCCTAAAATTTGTGAGCAGAATATATTAGAACCACGATACTTACTTAGCATCAAAGTATCTTCCCAGAAGGTGTTATAATAAATACAAAAGGGAGGACAATAACTTCACAATAAACTGGGAGATATCACCTTAATCAGGTAATCAAAGTTATGACTACTGATAATGAGACAAGAGGACATCTTGTGCCTATTGGGAAGGATTCCAACATCACTTCCACTGAGTTCCTTTTTTTTGAGACAGAGTCTATGTCACACTTTATGGAGTGTTGTAGCATCATAGCTCACAGCAACCTCCAAATCCTGGGCTTCAGTGATTCTCTTGCCTTAGCCTCCCAAGTAGCTGGGACTACAGGCGCCTGCCACAACACCCAGCTATTTTTTTGTTGCAGTTGTTTAGCAGGCCCAGGTTCGAACCCCCCACTCTCAGTGTATGTGGTTGGCACCATAACCACTGTGCTATGGGCACTGAGCTTTCCACTGAATTCTTAACCAGAGCACGTAATTATGAGAAACATCAAACCAAAACTGAGGGCCAAACTACAGAACACCCAACCAGTACTCTTCAAAAAGCATCAAGGTCAGGAAAGGCAAAGAAATCTGAAGAAATTTTTAAAAGAAGACTAGAAGATACGTACGTACAACTAAATAAAACATGACCCTGAACTGGGTCCAGGACTTCTTAGGCAAAGAATGTTTGTAGGACACTGGTTGAAAGTTGAATAAAATCTATACATTTTATAAATATTTTTAGGTTTTTGATATACATCCTTCAAATAGGGGTCTGAAGTCACTCTTTGTATGTCCTCATAATTGCATATTAGAATTATACCAATGTTAATTTCCTGATTTTCATAAATAGTAATGTGGTGATTTATTACAAGATAATCTAGATGGTTTATAAAACTTTTTTTTTTTTTTTAAAAAAGTTTCACTTTTTCTCCCTTGGTAGAATCCCATGGCATCACAGCTCACAGCAACCTCCAACTCCTGGGCTCAAGCGAGTCTCCTGCCTCAGCCGCCCAAGTAGCTGGGACCACAGGTGCCCACCACAACGCCGGGCTATTTTTTGGTTGCAGCCATCATTGTTGTTTGGTGGGCCAGGGCTGGATTTGAACCCGCCACCTTAGGTGTATGTGGCTGGCACCTTAGCCACTTGAGCCACAGGCATGGAGCCTACCTCCTGGTCTTAAGCAAAGTAATTCTTGTGCCTCAACTGCCCGTGTAGCTAGGACTACAGGTGTGCAAGTGCATACCACGATACTTGGCGGTATGTTTTTAGGGATGGGGTCACTGTTACCCATGCTGGTCTGATATTCCTGGCCTCCAGATATCCTTCCACCTCAGCCTCCCATCTTTAAAGAGAAGGGAGAGGGACCTGAGATGGTGTCCACTATGAGTTCCCTATGGCCATTTTGTCATCTCTTCCCCACTCTGCTTCTCTGAAAGGTGGTTATTAGTGTCCCCATTTTCTGAAGATCCCAAGCTTACATTGTTTAGTGAATGAATGTTGCACAGCTGACCCTGAATTCCATCCGGGAACCATGTAATTGCTGAAGTATGCTGCCAACATGAACCAATATTCACACAATAATAGAATATATTTAAAAGAAGGGCAGAAGGGGCTCGGCGCCTATAGCTCAATCGGCTAAGGCGCCAGCCACGTACACCTAAGGTGGTGGGTTCGAATCCCCAGCCCGGACCCGCCAAACAACAATGATGGCTGCAACCAAAAAATAGCCG